GGGGGGGGGGGGGTAGGATTTTGATTATTTGTGGCTTTTACCTTGGTCATGTGACAGCTGGCGTCGAATGGGAGGACATGGTGAGCCTTGACCAGAGGGAGCTGTGGATGGCGCAACAGATATAACAGCAGAGGGTGGAATAGGAGCAGCTTCCCGGTCAACACTGGGGCTGACTGGCTCATCTATGAACACAAAGCATTTAGTGTGAACACACAGATGCAGATAAACATATATATTCTATAATATGATGCATTTCCAACTTCAGTATCTGTCTGCAAGAATGTACGACTGCTGCGCTATGACTCACTGATCTGTATCTCAATAACTATGATCTGTGGGATTTAGAAGGGGGGGGGGAGAGAATCACTCTTTTTGTGAATCCAATAGCTAATGTGCAGCAACACATCGTCATCTAATGCCTTTTCCTTTTTAGCAGCAAGAAAGAGAAGGAAGTTTTTAATTCTCAAGTACCACCCACTCTTGGCACATCAAGTCTGAAACTGCTCAGAGTACAAAGCTGCTCTCGGCAGCCATGGGGCTTTTGGAGCTAAATTTAAAAGCAACTGTTCTAGTTAAAGCCTGAGCCCAACTTTGAAACGGGCCAACGGAAAAAGGATGTCACCATCCCCTTGAAAAGATTTCTTCAGCTACTTTGCTAAAGTTGTTTCCATCACTAAATTTAAAGTCTTACATCTTTTTCAAACATCTGATAAGCTCAATATAGGAGGAAGTAACACTTCTAATAAACAGCACTCTGCATGCAACAGCTCATACTCCTGACAGACAAGAAGAGGGTGGTTCTAGCTAATCCTAAGCAATTTTCCCAGAAACCCAAAATAATCTGCAGGACCTCCATGATGGAAATTTACTGTTTCCATGATAAATTCAGTCTATTTAAAAAGTCATCTTTTTAAATAGATGGAACAAATCTGATAGTTATTCAATAAAATTCACATTTTTAGCAGACTGATACAAGAGGTAACAAAACAGAATAGAAAGTACCAGCTAATACTGTCTAGTCAAAATAAGAAACTATATTATTTAAGTAAAGTGAATTTATCCCCCTGTTTCAGTCTGAAAACAAATCCCTTATAAGTCTTTGTTATTGGGTATTGACCATTTCGCTGAAGAACAAAACTCAACAAGCACAAACAACAGTAAAGCCCAAAACAAATGACGCAAAATCTAACTGCAAATAACAGCTTATCCCCTCTCACCGATCCCCTTTCTACCATTTTCTGTGATTTTTAGAGAGACACACGAAGAGGCAGACAGATGGACAGACAGATCATAATACATACATAAAGAGAGACAGATGGAGGACACACAAAAAGACCCAGAATGCAGAAAAGAAACAAAGAGAAAAAAAAATTGTAATACCCGTCCCTCAAAAAAATTGGGACGGGTCCTCTTAAAAATCAAAAGGTCATCCATCTGCATTTCATCAGTATTGTCTCTAGAAATGTAATAATAGCAATATCCACATTATTCCACAACATTAAACAGAGTGACTGTTCCCTTTATTTATGATTATTATATTAATGCAAACAATTACATTTTGACCGTTTTAATTCTCATCAGACTTAAATGCCCTTTTTAAAATGGCAGACACACATAGGCAAAAGCAAAACACTGCAAGAAACTTGACATACACTTAACATGTTCATAGTAAGATAGTTACTTTAGAGATAACAACAATTTAATCATCACAAAATCAATTTTGTGACTATTTAAGTGTAATGTATCTGTTTTGAAGGGAGAACATCCAAGAAAACAATGTCTCAGAGAAATTCAATATAATCTAAAAGGCTTAAACCATCCTTCACTCTGCCCTGGTTAAATCAAACATCCCACAAACACACACTAAAAGCCGCAAAAACTGATTAATATCATCTTCCCAGGGAGATTAGTTTATCTGTAAACACAGACTGCATCTCCCCACCGCTATATTTACACACACCGAATCAGATTAACAGTGAAACCATAGGTGTCAGTTAACCTGCAAGCATTGGAGTCAGCTTTCCATCCATCCACCACTTGTGAACTGATTTTTATTAGTGCCTATAGTGCTAATGCTATTCAACCATCTACAGTACTGGTACTACTGGTCTGAACAATGTTACTACGGTCTGCGGTTGTTGCCATGACAACGAGCAGCAGCACAGCAGCAAGGCTTACTACGGATTCTCTTACCGATGAATGGAATGGAGTCCAGAGACTCGTCCAGGTTGCTGGAGCAGGAGGTGTTACACCGTTCCCCAAGGAGGCGCATTTGGATCTCTCGACGTGCATCGTTAGGAAGCCAACACGCCACCACATCGGCCGTGGAGTCACCTCCATCGTCATTGACAGCCAGGATGTAGGAGGGTTGCCGGAGGGGGCTGGGGTTCTTTCCAGATGGAGGCTTCTCCCTTAGAACCACGATACTCTCGGAGAGGCTTTGCCCATTTACTTGACTCTGGGAATCTGAGTGAGGTGGCTTGAGGATGCTAGGCCTCTGGGGCATCTCTTTGGGAGCAGAGCATGAAGAAGATCTGGGTCCTACCAATGCTGCATCTCTGCCTACCTCAACAGGTTGTATGGTTTCAGCCCGCACCCTGCTTTGAAGTTGCTGGAGAGCTTGGCCTGCAGGGCTAACTTTGCCTGAAACTCTTTGGTCAGCGAAAGAATGTTCAACACTTGAACTCTTTGCAAAATGTAAGGGTCTGTCAGAGAGCATGGGTGAAGAGCGAGTTTGAAGAGAATCATGTCCTTTAGTATACAGAGAAGGGACTGGGGGCCCCCTCATACCGCCACTGTATCCCACAGAAGGCCTGTAGACCATGGCCTGCCTGGGAATGGCTTGCCTACTGAGCCTCGTACCTTGGTCTGCCCTTCCATATCCCCCTCTCCTGTCACTGGGCCGGGCCAGCTCTGCAGGGTCCACATAGTCTGTGGATCGGGCCCGGGATTTGTGAACTAGGCCATCTTGGGACACGCTTCGAGGGGGCCAGTTCCTTGCATTACTAATCCTCTCTGCACTGCTCATGCGATCCTGTGAGGCACTGCGAGGGGCAACTTGAAGGTGGGGTGGAGGTCCTTGGTATGACCGGTCATGGGAAGTACTCCTTCGCCGTATCACCTTAGGACCCCAGTCTCCCCGCATAACGTGATGAGTAGGGCCAAAGCTGGCCTGACCAGCAGCTCGTAAACTGTCCAGCCTCTCCTGGATAGTCCGACTACCATGAGAATGGATCCCTTTGTTGTCAATGTACTCCCTGTATGTCTGGTAAGTGCGCCAATCAATGCTCTGGTGGTTTCCTGGGTAGTTTGACACCTGAGCTCCATATGGAACCATTCCAGGACCACCGGGATAGACATCTGCCTTTCGAGGTTGAGGATACTGGGCCAGTGACCCAGGCCTCCCCCTAACAAAGGCAGGTTCCATAAATTCCATCCTGTGTGCTGGAACCATGCGCCCCATATGGGCTGTATTATGAGGAACTACCACTGTCCTCACACTGTCATTGCGCATGCACACTGCTGTTTGGCTCTTAGGATACGATGCCAGAGGTGGTGTTGGGGGCACAGTAATCTCCTTACGGTACCCATGGTCTGGAGGTGCTGTTGGCGCTCGGCAGACCTGCCCCACCGAGTCTGTCGGCTGGGCCATGCCCGTAGGCTTACAGTCTACTCTGGGGTAGCATACTGAAGGTGGATCAGGAATGTGACAGGCATTTCCCCTGTAGCTACTGTGGCCACGGAGGTAGGCATCCTGGGAGTAGGCCTAGAAACACAGCAACAGAGAAATGTTTATAACAGATGAGAACAAGTAGCAATTGCAAAGTGTGCATAACACACGTCAGTTCGATACTAGCTACTTACAGAGAAGTCAAGCGTGATATTACAAATGTTACTGCATGTATGTGTGTGGGCAGTGCATGTTGCAGTGTGAGTGAACGCGGAGGCGTTTCAGGCAGTTCAGCTGTGTCAATGCTCTTCATCTGCTCCTTATTTAGAATTCTCATGGTAATAACGTAGGCTAGTACAGTATATAAACCAAAGAAGAAAATTTTTAACTAAAAGAAACAATGTTTCCAACACATCATTTTATTTTTTTAAATGGTACAGTGTGGTGTACTGGTGCTTCTACAACATTACAGCCTGTGTTCTCCAAGCTTGTGGTTACACAACAGCTGTCCTTTTTAGTATAAGGAAAAATGTCTCGCCCATCCAAGAAACAAACATTTACCACAAACGCTAACACCAAAAGATAATTGGCAAATGGTGCACAAGCCTACTGAACTTATTTAGCCCCAACAGTGACACTTTCTGTAACACCACTATATTAATAAGCTAACCGACTGGTTTATGGGAACAAAATTGATAACATAAAAACTGTCATAAATGGACATAAATGTGGAAAGATAACCAATGTTTCCATTTACCCACCTCAGACTGACAGATTACAGCCTCAGACTGACAACCGGTTCCTATCGCTCACAGAGAAACTGCTATATTTATCCCCCCTGGTTATTATCCAACGTTCGGAAAACCATGCTCCATACACATGCTAATAAAGTCATTTCTAATAAATGCAAACCTAAACATAAAACTTCTTCTAGCACATTAAACTATGTGCTGTTTATCTGGTATACTCAGCATACTGTACATACAGCAAAGCATGAGACCTGTAAAGGTATGAGGACTTTGATCCCAACAGCCTTACAACCTTTCATAAAGCTGTGTGTTTCACAGAAATCACTGACTGACTCAGTTCTTCCCTTTACAGTTCAGAGGTCAATGGCCTTTATCAAACTAATGACATCTGACATGGAGAATGAAGAAGGGGCGAGGCCTTGCTGAGATGCCAGCTGGATGCCTACTGAAGTGTTCAATCTAACAGGTACTGCAGGCACAGTGCATCGCCCATTTCTACAGTCTACACATTTCAATCATGAGCACGGAGCTGAGTATTAAACACTCATGCGAGCCAACTGAAAAGCAATCATGTAAAACCTGAAGTCAACATCCAGCAGTAACAATGACACACACGCATGACATATGCAAAATGATACAGCAAGCACAACACGTCAACATCAAGAGGCTACCCAGTGTTCTGTTTCCTTACCAGATTAGTAGTCTCCAGAGAAATAGGCTGCCATCACAGCGTGAGAAAACGAGAGCGTTAAGAAATCATGGGAGAGAGGGTGGAAGAGAAAAAGATGCCAGCAGAAGAAAATGCACATGTTGGGAGAAACAAAACAGATTCATCGGGGAGAAAACATGAATCAGCCATAGCTGGGCTTGACATGCTAAAAATATACTAGAGCTGCAGTGGCAGTAGAGAGGGATGAAGAAGGAAAGATGAAGCAGGGGGTTGCCACGTTACGACCTGCCTATGCCAGTCTGTCCTGGGTGAGGTGACAAGAGCAGAAGCTTGCCTCTCATGCTGCTCTCATGTCTTCACGGTTTTATCCATATTCAGCCAGAATATTACGCTAACTGAACAAGGTGCCTCCAGTCTATGTCTCCCTCTCCTTCCCTTTGGTACTGCTCACATGACAGAAGCAGCAGCTGCTGATTATACATTCAGCTGTGATGGTACAGCTCCCCTCCCACTCCATCCTCCTCTCTCCCTCTCCCTTAGCATCAACCTGTTCAAAACACAGGGAAGTCAGCTGATTTTATCTTCTGGTTTCAGCTCATCATTCATCCTGTTCCTTTTATTTCCCACTCCGCTGTATTTTCTCCGCTTTCACGGTGTGCCGTCCTCTTCCCTTTTCTGCTCCTACAATGTTCAATCCATCTCTTTGCTAAGCAACTGCTGCCTGTCTCCAAGCACTGAGTGTGCTGCCTCCTAAAGTGTAACGTCTTGCTGCCAGCACCTCCAATAATCCTCTTGTTCTTATGGACAGTTCCTATTCGTGCCTACATCAACATATTTTTGCGCGCGCGTGCGTGTGCGCATGTTTGCCATTTGCAACACTGCAACCATGGATTTAACAACACACGTGTTTGAGGCTGAACTGTGTGAATGATTACAGATGGGAAAAATGGAGGCAGGAGGGAAAGAGAACCTATCAGGGAGAAGGGGTGGAGTGACAGTCAATTGGTTACTAGAAAAGAACTGTGGGAGTAGTCAAGGGAATGTGACCAATAATTTATATCTCTCTGATATTTACAATGTTAATTCTAGTCGACTCATTAAAATGCTATACATACAGTGTAACGTTTTACATAACTTGCTTGTTCTGGGAGAAATGTGAAGCTTGCAGAGAGATGACCATTTGCTAAACAGGATTTTGATATTGCAAAGGTGGATGCCAAAATAAATGATTCATTGAATTAACCATCAAGTTTATTATGAGAATTTAATCTAGCCATAAATGACCCCTAAGGAGTTTTTCTAGGTAACACAGAGAGCCCAGCTCGTTTATTATCTAACTAATGAACAGGATGTCAGATAACAACAACCCCTAGGGAGAGTATTCTTTAGCTATTTGACAAAGCACTTACAGTAATTTGCTATAGATATGAAACAGATGAGTACACTTTCACTTTTGTCTGACTGTGTAAAATGCACAGTAGCTTCAAAGAGCTGCCTGCAGCATGCATGAAAGATTAATGATGAGATCTCAAGTGTTCATAGGTATGAGGACTTATCTCTGCACGTTAAATTGTTTTGGGGACATGCAATACTCACAAAGAACAAAGACAAAGGCAATATATGAACCCTAAATATTGAGCTGTGTGATTAGCACACAGGGTTCACCTGTTTTTGGGTGAAAAGCTGGAATTACCACCATTTTTGTAATACCTAGATCATTACTAATCAATTTTTCCTCCAATCAAAAACCGTAAAAAGAGACAACCAAAAAAAACAAAAACAAAAAAAAAGAAAAAGCTGGATTGATTGCTAATTAATGTTAATCAGTCTCACAAACTAAAATAACAGCAATAACATTACCAAATCATACAGCAACTGATTCCAAAATATAAACTTCAAAATACTGTATTTGTTTACATTTTAACTGGGACTCTCTTGTGTTTAAACCTTCTCATTTTCCTGACTCTTAATCACAAAGTGCTGCCACAACTAAAGCTGGTTTTTAGCTCACATGCAGCTTGGAGGGAGGGCATTAGCTTCCTGTTACCAGTGCCGCTTCATTGACACTGGTAACAGGATAAGCACTGATTAACTACAGCTGATATAATTCAAATGTGATGTCGGCCCTTTTAACCAGCAAAAATGCATTGCATGTGCTACCTATAAATGCAAACTATTCTAACATCGCCAGAATACTTTCTATAGCGATCTTTAAAAAAAAAAATCAAAAAAAAATCTACACCTGATGCATGCATGTTTTTTTTAAAAAATTATTACTACTACTATTATTTTAGGAACTGGATCCAAAATTGAACCAAACTATCAGCAACCTAATTTTAATGGTTTCATATTTCTTTCCATAATATTTGAACTCAGTTCCCATTTAGCTTTCAGCTAAAATCAGTCCTTTTTAACATTGCATTTTCTGAGAAGTAACAGTAACAACATGCACAGGTTACTGTCGTGGATTTGAAGCATCACTGCCACTTCTTGTAAACCACTTACTCCACTTTTAGTTGTATTACAAACTAGGGCTGCCACAAACGATTATTTTGATAGTCGACTAGTCACCGATTATTTTTGCGATTAGTCGACTAATCAGATCATCATCCATTGGACGTAAAACTACAGCTTATTGCACCAGCAGCATCTGCTCTTATATAACTATCATTAGCTTACAGCTTTAAGTGTTTAAGGTGCTAACTAAAAATAAAGACAAGATGATAGTTTATTAAATTTTAATGAAATTTGCAGATTGTTTCGGTGAAGTTTAATAAACTCCTTGCTATCTAAAATATAACAGGACACCGGAGTATATTCTCCAGCATCTCACACTTCTGATAATCAGCTGTCTGCTTGACGTTTATTCAGCTGTGTAAAAACTATAACTTTAATCTCAGCCAAACCGATTTACTCAGGAACAAATAAAATACTAAAAAAAAAAAAAAAACCAAACAACAACATTTTTAATTTATCTAAGTGACTCATATATATTTAACCTGAGTCGCGAAAGACGGCGGTGGGTTTGAAAACAATTTGCCGGGAGTCCGGTGTTCTCACGGCGCTAGTGACCTAGCCCCCGGCTAGCTATCGAGCTAGTGGGTGTCACTACCCGATCCGTACCGGAAACCCGATCGGTACCCCGCATGCGCGAAAGGTCTCTACTTCCGGTCGTAGCGTTTTACGATAGTTATGGGTCAGAGTATCTGTTAAGATGTTAAGAATAACAAGTATATCTTAAAATGTTTGCAATAATGAAGCATTTCAGTACAATGTAGACAAAAACGAAAAATAAAAAGAAAGTTACGGATCAGGACTCTCCGATCCTTACTGCGCATGTGTAAAGTCTGACCGTACAAATCGGGTCTACCCGATCCGTACCGCGCATGTGCAGATGTTTTCTTCTTCTTCTGTTCGTTTAATGGCAGTTTACTCCCCAGTGTACGAGGATACCGCCACCTGCTGACCGAGCGAATAAACCCTATTATAAACTGAATTAGCGTCATTACAAACGTGTGTTAAATCTGATTTAGCGATAGTCGAGTGTGTTTATGCTTGTCTGTGAGGAGAGGATTGTTGGAATAGTGATGATGATGTGCGCCATCACTGTCAATTGTCAGTAAACACTTCATCTGGCTGATGAATCTACACGTGAGATATTACAAAGTCTGCATTATTAACTCTGTAATTAGGCGCCATTCTTCTTATTTTACGGCGCTGTTGCTCAATCGGGGGACGCTCTCTGTTGAGGAGAAAAGCATGAATTTCTTTGTATACGGATTATCCATTGTTTAAATGTCCCGGGCAGTCGAAAAGGAGGCAGAGCTGTTGAGAAATGCTAGGAGCTAACTGGGCGCTAACCGTATCATTCAATATTGAATGTCGCAATGTTGGCAAAGAGAGGAAGTGACGTAAGATTTGCGCATGCGGGGTACCGATCGGGTTTCCGGTACGGATCGGGTAGTGACAGTGGGTAACAGACGTCTCCGAAAACGTCGGAGCGCTTTTGAAAATATGTGGTGTCCTGATAAACTGAGCCGATATTTGAGGTTTACACAGCTACATTCTCGCCTGAAAATATGTTAAACGTTTATTTTGTGACCCAGAAAGAATAATAAGAGTAATATTAAAACTAACTAGCTACCGCCATTGTTGGAAACTAAGCTGGGCCGCGCTATGAATTCTGGGACACAGCTGCTTCTTCTTCTTCGGGGTTTAACGGCAGCTGGCATCCTTGTACATGCAGTGCTGCCATCTTCTGTTTCAGTCCGTTATTACACTCTTAAATCCTGCTATTATTCCTGCGTCTTTTGCGATCTTACAAAGCTTCAAACGACACGTCGACTATTAAATCAGTCGTCGACGATTTTGATAGTCGACGTAATCGTGACTAGTCGACAAATCGTGGCAGCCCTATTACAAACAATAAATTCATTATCTAACTTCTACCTAGGAGTAAACAGCTGAGCTGCAGAGAACATTTATCCACAAATGGTGAGAATAAAACTTCTTTTAAAAAACAGTTGATGTCTTTCATTCCTTGGTTTATTTTTAATGTGCATGGTACTTTGTATAAACCCAGATGTATAGATGAAATAAACTCAAAATATATGCGCTATTTAGATTGGCCTGTGTGTCAACAAGTTAAATGTATTTTTTAATAAAGCTTCCTTTACCGCTCCTTTTGGGCCATTTCAGCGGTTCTGTAAGCAGCACTTCTGGAGGACAGAAAGGGTGCACTGGCCTGATTAGGAGGCCTAGATAGAAAACTCTGATGGGATAAGCTAGCTTGCCTACATCTCATAACTGCTGTCCCGACATGAACAACTTAAACTAGAGCAGCTCTGTCACAGAACAGAAGTTATTACAAGGCTAGAGAAGAGAGCACTCTTTCAAAAAAAAACAAAAACAAACTTTTTAAAGCTAATTTTCAAAACAGGATTGCAAAGGAAAACTTACCAGTTGCAGTACATCCTCATCTTTTGGCATTACACAAAGTTCAAGGAAGTCACCACTGCAGGGGAGCAAAAGAAGTTTTAAACAAGGCAAGTAAATCAACAAGCATGAAGCACACAAATTCATACTCAGTCTTACCTGTCTTGGATCAAAGATATAACCTCGCAATAAGCTTTCCCAATGATGCTTGCTCCATTCACCTTCACTATTCGATCACCTGATAGAAAACAAAATCAAAAAGAAAAGGCTTAAGTGACATCAGTGACAGAATCCTAGGAAAACTTCAAGCTCTTTGTGTGAGGGAAACATGTGCTCATGACAGAAAGTAAAGACTTGAGCACATGACTATGACTTCTTAGTAAGGAAAAAAGTAACATAGTAACATAATGAAAGTTTTCAATAAGTGTGGTTGAAGGGTTCCGTATTGACTAAAATCCTTAAAATCATTAGGGTACCCGGCAGAAAGCAGCAGGCCTGGCTTATGTTGTGCATAACAGCGAAAGGAATGTCAAGACAACTTAAAACTGCACTCCTTGCATTTTTGCCCCTATGCTTTCAGTAGGACAATATCATAGAGGAAGTTGCAGACTCTGTGTTACTGTAATATGCCTCTTCTGTTGTAATGCTGTGACTTCCAAGAAATTACACCCCCGTGAACAACCTCTTTTTGGTAGTTTTTGGTAAATAATGATGACTGGCTGACATTTGACAGACCTGTGCAAAGTCCAGCGCCATGAGCAGGGCCACCTTCCTTGACCTGCTTCACAAAAATAGTGTCCATTGGTTCCAGTCTATTTCGCTGCCTTCCTGCTGATAGTAGAGAACAGAGTACACTTATTTATAAACCATATGCAATACAAACACATGAAAACATATCAAATGTATTACAGGGTAGTTCTGAAAATTTACTCTTAATGAGGTTTCCAACTTCATAACAGAGAAAATCCTGACAAAGAAAAGATTTATAAAACCTTCAGAGAAGAAAATCCTAAATGTTTACTACAAATGACAACAATTTCTTACCGAAGTACAAGCAGACCTATGATGTAGATTCATTTTTTAACCTTTGCCCTTTTTTCACAACTAAATCTAAAAATTTGGAAAAACAAAAAAACAAAAAAAAACCAAGCTGACCCCAAGACGTAAAATTGCTTTAGAAATTGTCACATATGAGAACAGAGAGGTTTGTCACAAGCTTTGGAAGGATGCAAACCAACATTATGCCTGGATAGTAAGCTGTGGTCTGTCCAATTCTTTCTCAGTTTTCAATAGACATGGTCATTAACTGATTGAGAGAGGGAGAAAAAAAATTAAACAGGGAAGGGGAGCTTTGTGATTTTAGGGACAGTGATAAAAGAGAAAGAAACCCGTTTGGTCATGCAGCTCCTGTCTCCTAGCAGCTGCAGAGCCATAGAAAGGAGGAAAAAAAAGGGGGGGGGGAGGATACTAAAACTAAGACGAGGTAGAGTGACAGTGTGTTCAGCTGCCTCAACTCCCACTCTTTCCTTATAAACTGAGCAAAAGCTCTGGGCACAGCCAAAGAGTGGCCCAATCGTTAACATTCTGCTAGTGAGTCATCCCAAACTAGAGCAGACAGAAAAGCCAGCATGAGAGCAGGCGTGATAGTATTAAAATACTCCACATTTGTTGTTGTTTAGAAATTCAGACATGATCTTGTAAGACACCTAATGATCATGCCACTGACAGGCCGATAAAGCTAATTATTTTTACACCAGACCAACCTCAAAATTTATTTATTTTTTTCTCCCCCTCCTTTCCACACACCCGTAATTACTCATGCAGAATCACATCCTGGGGACATTATGTAATATAGTACAAGACTCCCATACTGCTACACCAAAAAGAGATGCTCCATCTGGTGGTATTCTGAGAAGTTGCAAGTCCTAATTTCTTCAATGAAGCCATCTAAAAATGCCACTAAGAACATCTAGATGCATGTTGGGAGTTGCACTGAATAAGAGACAGACTAAAACAAATGGCAGTATTAATGTCACCAAGGTATAATAGCTCACACATAAGCTTAGCACCTCACTAATCCCGTTGGCGCCAAACCATTTCCTGTGCATAACCAGTATTTTGAGAAATACGTGTTTGTTTGCTTTATCCAAACGTGGATGTGCAGATAAAGATTACATTCATTTCTCAATGTTCGGCACAGATACACAAAAACAAATGCACATGCCAAAAAAAGTTTGAGTGTTCCTTTAAAAACCTTTCCAAGAAAATGGAAAAAAAAGGAACAGGTTTGGATTGCTCCAGGAAAACTCAAGAGAAGTTTGTGCCCACAGCTGACTCATATTTATCTATGCAGGTTTCACCGTTATGTTAATGAAGACTATTAAAATATAGTGCAAAATAATTTCTAGGCAAAAACTGAATAACCCACCATAAATTAGCTTCATGGTTAAAAACAAAAATATTAATGCCTGTCCCCCATAAGCAGTTTTAAAAAAGACAGAGCTGTGAATGAAGTAAAAGGCAGCAATGATCAGATCACTGGTGAACCCAAACGTGACCCAAGCCATGACAGAGCATCTTTGTCTTGGGAAGAAGCGGACTCTTGTACAATTTGTGAATGGATGGTGATGTGGCACACCATAACCACAGCACATCCATAACTCGGATTCTTTTTTTGGGGGGGAGGGGGGGGGCCTTGTTGGTTTTAAGTAAATTCACATTTCCGTCTTCAGAATAACAACCAGCCTTCATCTGAATGATCAGTTATGTCAACAGCAAATTAGGGTGGATGCAGTGTTTTTAAGACTCACTGAGGTCTAATTACCAAATAACCCGAAACCCGATTTTAAGGCACAAAACTATGTTTATTAAACTGTTTAGAGACGTTGGGGATCGTCCTAAAGGTCATTTTCTTTTTCGGATAGTTCACATATACCAATTCTCTTGTTTGTTTTTTAACATCCTTGTATGAGTTTCTATTAACTTTAACATTTAACCTGGATGTGGTAAAGGCTAGCAGCAATAAGACAGCCACCCTTAAACATAAGTCTGTTGCTGTAATTTGCTGTTTTCATCCATATCCATTAAGGTCAAGTTCCTTAAATGACTTAAAAACTTTTGAGAAAACTCTTTATGATTCGTTTTACATTATTAGTGTTTCCATCACCTTTTCATGTGAAGGTCATCTATGCAATGAAGCTCTTTCTGTAAGTAATTCTACTTCATCCAATTCTTCCCACATTAATTTGCCTCCTACTGTTGTCCCGACAGATTTTTTTGCAAAAATACACAAAACTGATGGGACCATTTGCACAATAATAAAACTGAGTTGCACTGTAAATAAACCTATAGAATACTGCTTTGGTGTATTTTTATTCTGAATAGAGAAATACACGTCAAAAACTGATTCATAACAACAACAAAAAAACATCAGAGGTACGACAGTGCAGCTTTATCCTCCATGTTTTGGGGAGGCAGCATGTTTGTTTGCTTGCTGACTCAGACTGGACTGAAAAGCCCTCAGGTTGGCTTTTTTCTTGCTGCCTGTGAGCCCCTGTGAGGAGCATTATAAAACTACCGGGATTCTTTAATATTCTCCGGCTTACCTGATCCAAAGCAGCAAAGCCCTGGGCAGAGCGCTGGGCTTCTAAAGTGTTTCAATTTTTGGGGGTGAAACAGAAATAATATACTTTAATGGCACCTTGCTTTCCTGTAATGTTTCTTGAGGTTTTATATCTGAACAATAAGCAAGCTCAATATCTGCTGTATAAAGTATCAGAAAGTGTTCATAATAGTTTTATTAGAATAAACACCTAAGAAATTAGCTTGGAAAGACATCTCTGATTTAAACAGTAAAGTGTTACAGCTTGAAATTTCTATTTGGCCTAACTTGTTGAACTGTGAAGGGAAAAAAATACCCAGAGGTGATTTTCCTTTTTAAAAAGACTAACACTCTTAAAGATGGCCACTAAAGACATTCTTCAGAAATATTAGATTTTGTTCATATTAACCACTACACACTAACACTTAACAACTTTAGATCGTGATCTTCTGAGGACTTTATGGGGCTTTCCATTTTGTAAGAAAACAAAACGATTACTTGTACATTTAATAAATAACTTCAACAACTGTTTCACTATATCACACTTTAAACAAAGCATGTGACGTATTGGTAACTTCAGGCTACTCCGGTTATTCTGGTCACATACCGAAAAGGTAAAAAACAGTAATGGATTGACATACGTCTGCCATAGACAGGGTGTGAATATTTATAACGAAGAAACCAAACCATAACACTCACTGTCAAACACAGCTTGTTGAAAACTGAGACCATCTCTTTCTAAGGGCATGAAAAAGGCTGAAAAGCAGCCAGAACAAAATGTGTAGTGAGGAGAGTCAGAGCAGGACAGAAAGAGGTGGTGCTAAACAAACCTTTCACAGGAACTACATTGTACCCAATGCACTTCATGTACACATAAAAAAGGAAAATCTTGGTGTATTTTACTGCATATAGTAACTATCTTTACATAATATAGTATTTAGGGTTTGTTTTTTTTAATTACCAGTCTGTTCTTCTTATTTTTTTCTACTTTTGTATTGTTTTCTAATACATCTCTAATTCACCTCTTCCTTTTGGCCCTTGTGCTGCAGTAACAAGCTAATTTCCACAGTGTGGGATTAAATAAAGTCTATGTCTACTCACTACGTTAGAAGAAAAAAAAAAAAAAAAAGAGCTGAAGGGTGGATGCAATTCAGATGAACTGCTCCGATTCAGCAGTACTGAAAGGTAAGAATAAGAAGAAACAGCTGAATTTTTCTGCTTACCTCTGCGGCCATGATCTTCCTCCTGTAAAAGCACAGAAATCCTCAAGTGACTTTGCTGCTCATGGTCAGAGTCTTTTCAGTACTAGGCTTTTTGCTGACTTAATGCTATCTTATGTGATAAGAGGCAAACAATACTCAGGTCAATAAAACTCATGAAAGTTTCTGAGATGTGAAATCTACCGGAAAGTAGTGCAGCGTTGACTCCGGCGGGTACACAATGAAGTGTCGAAGGGTGAAGCCGAAGCCTTGGGATGTGCGATGCAAACGCACAGTTTTCGGCCTCGGCCATGAGAATGGCTCGTCATCTGTTGGGTACGGCGCTGCGGCCGAATCAGCCAAGCTCCTCCACTCTGGAGTGTCACTCTGAACAAAGAAAGTTTTAAGAAGCAATTAAAAAAAAAAAAAAAAAAAAAAGGCAGCATCTTTTTCTAAAGAAGATTTAAAATAGTTCTGATAAAAAAAAATTTTAGCTACATAATCTAGGAATGGGCACAAATAAAAAGATAAAGTTAAAAAACAAAAAAGAAACAAAAACAGAACTACATCATATGTTAAAGCCACCACAAATTCCCACATCAACAAACATCCTTTTCAGAGGAATTACTGTGCATTAGCATAGGGTCATTCATTTCAGCTTAACATAGTGTAGAGGAGAATGGGCTTATGAAAAACATTAGGGGTTGCCCAGTGTTTACCATCAAGTCATTTCAGAGTATCCCATTTACACAGCTGGAGTAGAGCATGTCAGGCTTTAGACATCACTCCTGTGTTTACTGACTATTTATAGCTTCACACCTTTGTGGTATCGTGTTTGTAGCAACGCCTCCTTTACACAGAACTCCTCCTTTCAAATATGCACTACTATTTCAGTTCGCAAACACTTTTTGGGCCATCTCTCATTAGTTTTTGAAGGATGGCCCAAAAAATAAATACAATTAAAATCTACAGTGCCGTTAAATGACGCAAGCCTGTTACTTTCACATCACTGCACGTTTTACTGTTTGTGTTTGCAATAAAGGCAGCATCTGCTGCGTAAAACACAATGTAAATACGGATAAATTATTTATTAGTTTGTTCAGCAAGTCCACAAATGTCTTTGTGGCTTTCACTTTCAATGGTATATTATCAAGTATCTTGCCTAATAAGTCATCCCCCAGTGAATGCAAGCCTTAAATGGTTTTGTAATCACTTATTTTCCTCATATTTGTCAAACTGTGAGGACAGGATGCACAAACACAAGAAGCATGTCCTTTTATTCTCACTGTTTTCAGAATGTATATGCAAAATACATTTGACTTTTTCATTGAAATTGTCTTAAAGAATAAATACAAACATTAAAAAGTACATCAGATATAAATATAGCATAGCAAATATAAATAAAACACTTCGACAATAATGATTTTAAAAACACAAAAAGAGCTTAACGCTTTGATTAAAATCCATAGGCTCACACTTTTTGAAAATTTCCAAGTGAAAATAACAACTTCGTCATATAATTAACAGCTGGTTTCTGTCACTTAACATAACAGCTTATAAATCTGTCCTACATAACCTCTTTTTTTTCTTTTTTCTTTTTTTTTTAAACTGACCTCAAACCAGTGTTTATACCAATCCTGTCATTCTCCACTATAACTTTCAGAACACCTCTATCCAATCAGCCTTGAAAAGTCTCAATAAACATAAATAAATAAATCTAATTTCCTCATCCTGTCTCAAACAAACCCTCCCCCTCCCCACTGAAGCACAGACTTTCTCCAACAATGTGAAGAATTTGATGAGCTTGCATTCAGGCCATCTCTGCTTGGGCAGAAATGTTAAACAAAATGTCAGAAAACTGGGAGGAATAACATCCATTTTCAAACAACCTATGAAAAGAATTTGAAAGAATTTGCTTGTACACATTAAAACAAACAAACAAACAAAACTTGTTTTTGTTTGTTTTAAGCAAAACCAAACAGCTGTTGCACACAGTGATGAACGGACAAAACAAACATTTCAAAAAACAGTTTGTCAGCACAGACCTAAAACTTTCCAACTTTCCACCCAACTACTCTTGAGTACTTCGCAGACTGATCCGACTGTCTCACACTCATTGACTCTTCTCAAATGTTATGCATGCCTGAAGGTGTATACCAAGTTAAGGCATGTTACACTGTGTTCTCTACAGCCTTCTTAACACTCTTATTTGGCCACTTTGACCAATATATTGCTGAAAGGGACAAACTATTTGAAATACATTTTACTTCAAGCAACATCACAAGCAGGGCACATAAAGGTTTCAAATGTACACAGGATAAGAAACCAGAGCACTAATAGCTGGCTGGGAAACAGAGCTACAGGTGCAGCTGACACCCATGTGTTTTGATTAAACCAGCAGAACAGGTTTTCCTTTGAATGAGCTTTGGCTGTACTGTGATACCAGCACTTCCACATTAAAGTCTGTGTCTGTATGAGCTCTGGTTGTATTAAATGTGTACCCAGACGACTGTTTCTGGTGATAGGACTGGATGTTTGAAATGCCTGCACTGCTGCCCTTGTGTCTCCAGGGCAAGTCAGCCTCAGTTTACTGGATCAGATTTAGCAACTTGTCCAGAGAACAATTTCCCAACCTTTGATCTTTAGACATGGTCTGGCCATGCAGTGTTATCATTGCCACTCGCATAGTTATTAATGATGTGACATTCCAGTAAATTCTAGATGGGCATTTCCCTCACTTAATTTAAAAAAAAAAAAAAAAAAAAAACAACAAACAACAAAAATGGGTATTGTTGTGGAGGAGTTGTATCAACCTCACAGTTGATACCACTTTTAAACAACTGTGAGAAGAGGTCAAAGGGGAAGCAACATAAAAGAAAATCATGACTTGTGAAAAAGGGGCTACAAAGAAAAGCACATGAAAAGAACGTCCACATCAAAATATGACACACCTCTCTTTCCTGCCCACAAATGAATGCCTCTCACCTATTTATGAATCACTAGAATGCCAGACTGTTTGCACTGGGTGAGGCAGTTTGGAGAAGGTTTGAGAAGGCATTTGCTAATCTGGTGGACGTCTGTTGGAAATTAAAAGTGACCAGACCCGCATCTCAAATTTTGCTGCGGTAAATAATCACCAGAGCAGCAAATATCAAATATTTAGAGGTTTTAGAAAATTACCAAGTAATTTTAAAGAGTTCCTTTTTTATTCTGAATGAAGGGTCTAAAAGTCAAAGACAGCCTGAGAAGCTGGAAAGACAAAGACAAATGCAGTATTTGAGTTTTTAATAGTAGTGTTTCAATATGTTTGAGCTAATAACTGCTTGATCCAGCAACACTGTCTGCACACTCAGACCAAGCTAAATGTGAAGACTTGTTGCTCCTTTGTAAAAACTCATTTCTTTCCTCAGTTTCCTCAGATGCTTTTGTTTTTCTACTAAGGGAAATATTACCATCACTGCTCTATAAAGTAAAACCTAACCCAGTTCCATATATTGATCCCAAATGTTGACTAAATCTCTAGTAAGAACCACTAAAATTATCAAAAAAAAAAAAAAAAAAAAAAGGGGTAAGAAAGACTGATAGATAAGATTACAGTAGATACAATGCATCTACAAGAAGACAGACCCACCATCACTCTTCTGCTTTCTCCATGTTCCTTGCATCTGTACACTGTTGAGTCCTACCATTTAAATGCTTCCCTGGGTAAAGAATGGCCACATAATTAAATAATGTGACAGTGGCAACAGTAACACTACTGCAGTGCACGAGCATTTAAAACACCAGCACCCTGTGATGTTGACTCTGAATGGGTCGGTTGTAGGGAGTTCAGTTAGTGCATCACATTGATACCTTGTTTATGTTAACGTTTGTACTGTAACGTTTGTGTTAGCTTACCTGTCGGAAATTTCTCAGGATCACGCTTGCAAAAAGGAACACCTTTTTAGTTCTGCTAGCTAATGATTGAAATGCGATAGTAAACCAATACACTGTCAGTTAAACAGCATAATTGGCATTGAACACTAAACCATATAGGGAAACTATGACATGCAACCAAATTTGTGATTAGTAACGTTTTTTTGTTTGTTTTTTTAATTCTGTTTTGTCCTGTTTTACTTGTATTAATCAAAGGCGTGTAGCTGATTTTGTCCTGTAAAGACAAACTCAGCCACATGACTTCAGCCACTCTGTCAAATGGCTGAAGTCATAACAGAGCGCATCTTTAGCATGGTTATTACCAGCTGGGAACATCATCTCACTCCACAGCATGTACACTGCAATTGTGAATTCATGAACTGAACTGAATCATCTGTAAACTTTGCAAACTTGTTATTTTGGAATGAAAAAAAAAGTTTTTTTTATTGAATTTGAAGCTTTATTTTAACTTATTGACAGAAGCTATTTTTAGTTTCCTAATTACACACTTTAAAATAAAAAATACTACTACCACTTTAATTTTTATTACGTAATTTTTTTATTTACTTCATTTTTATTCTGACGGCCCTATTGAATATTGATAAAAATACACATGTGATTATTTTCAAATTCATTTGTTTCCTGGGTCAACAGGGTGATATTCACAAGTGGGCAGAATTTAGCAGGTGAGGTACTGGAGCCTAAAACAGGAGGTTTGCCCCGAGGAAGCGAAGATCAGAGTTTTTGAAAAAATTGTTGACTAATCAAATGATCAAAGACAAACTGGCAGATTAGTCGACTACATTGAGAATCTTTAGTTGCAGTCCTAATATTAAGTACGGATCGCACCATACAAGAGCACTGAGATGCCTTAACATATCAAAGACCATACCTTGTCTTAATGCACAGACAAAATAAGTGTCTTCAGAAGTAAATGTTCTTTGACAAATGACACAGGAGTACATACACTGTTTCAAGTATGCTGAATCCAAGGAACAGGTGGTTATCCCCCAGGAGTTTTTATGCTGACTACACCATTGGTGCCCCTACCACAGAGATTAGAGAGCAGTTTTCACATAAAAAACTGATATACAACAACATGACAAGTGTTTGTTAACAAATCTTATGAAACCACACTGCGAGGCCTGTATGTCTGAAAGCCTCGGCTGACATCACCAAATCAGACATTACATGCACCACATGACATCAGCTTTCACATAACCTTCAAATGTGAGGAAACATAGTTCTCTGTGGGCTGCTAAATTCTACACCACATCCCATCCAAACCAAGCACTTAGCTGTGAAAAACCTAAGATAATGATACAGAGAGCCACTGGTGAGCACTGGGCGTTCCAGCCTTGTATTGCAGGACAAGGTTAGGAGAAGTATCATTACTCAGTCTACAGTCTACACAGACACGTGGTGCATTTTCTGCACGCCACACTTCTACTTGTAACATATGGATGAGAAGG